AGAAAAAAGCAAGAAAATAAAAACAAAAAAATAAACAAAAAAATAAACAAATAAACAAGTAAACAGAGATGCAGACGGACAGACAAAAAGAAAAAACACACACACACACACACTCATACACACACACACAGAGAGAGAGAGAGAAAGAGACAGAATATGAAACACACGTACACCTGAACATAACCAAAGGGAGCTGCGTATACACCGCAGCCCAGCGAGCAGCTGGGGTGTATGCGCATACACCTGAGAGCAGCGAATCAGATTATATATAAATACTTTTGGGGTGTACATGCAAACGTCTCATCGATCCAAAAACTTCTGCAGTGTATATACACCTCAAAAAGCAGCATAGGCACTCCGGTGTATATGCTCTTCGTCAGCAAGAGTGAAACGATGCTGCTCCTATACCTACTGCAGCAGCAGCAGCAGCAGCTGCAGCAGCAGCAGCAGCTGCAGCAGCAGCAGCAGCAGGAGATGCAGCAGCAGCTGCAGCAGCCGCCGCAGCAGCAGCAGCAGCAGCAGCAGGAGATGCCTGGGTTTGTTATTTTATTTATCCTCTTGGTTTGTTGTTGCTGGGCAGAGGACAAAGACTCCTTGGGGTATTCTGTTTGGCGATTGAAGCCAAAAATATAAAACAATTGTAGCAGCAACATACACCGTGGGGTGTATAGGCAGCTCTTGCAGCAACAGGAGGGGTGTTGGGGTGTATGTACACATGAAACACAGACACGAGCACCGCAGCTAGAATAGTATAAAACAGAAATAATATTTTTGTTCATATTTGTACTTTTGCTGCTTTTCTTAAGTTTTGTAGATAACAGAAATATACAAAGCAAACTATAGATCAGGGTTTAGGGTTTAGGGTTTAGGGTTTAGGGTTAGGGCGTAGGATCTCGCTGTACAACAGCAGCAACTGCAGCAGCAGCAGCAGCAGCAGCAGCAGCTGCTGCTGCTGCTGCTGCTGCTGCTCAACATCTAAGCTGTTGTTTCAGCTGTGCATGCGGGGCTTTCAAATGACATACGCATGCATGCATGCATGCATGCATGCATGCACTGGGGGTTGTTTGTGCACTATAACAACTCCTTGTATGTTGCGCAGCTGCTGTAATATATATATATATATATATATATATATATATATATATATATATA